CAGGGTTTCAAATCGCGGTCGAGGTCGCGTTTTCGGTTATTTCGAATTTACCGTGATTGTGGCCGTCGCGGACGCTATTGCGGCCGTCGCGGGTAACTCGGACGACGGCGAAACCGCTATATCGCGGCCGAAATCACGGTCGCGGACCTGTTTTTGAAACCCTGCCCTGCACTTATCATCAAGGTATTTGAAGAATCACATGCAACTCCAACAACTTCTCCATCATGAGCACTTTCTCTTGGCCTGTCCAGATAACTACCTCGACTTCTTCCAGATTGAAGATTGAATCTCTCAATCCAACCACCTGTTGTCCCTAGAACAGCAAAGTTACCACACGCACTGATTGCACAGGCCTGTAACCAGAAGAAAAAAATCATCAGTTACAATTCATATAGTTGAAGAAAAACTAGTTCATAGCAGGGCTTTCTCATCTATGAATGGTTTAATTAACGTTTTAAATGAAGAGGAATAATTACACCGTCTAGGCTATATTCTATAAATACAAGAGCATTGAATGTATTCACTGCATTTGGAGCAGGAAAATAGAAATATCAATGCATAAAACTTATGGAAATAAACAAATACTAAATGGTAGGAATTAGATTGAGCATAACCTTCACAGGTGTGGGACTTTCAGGACATGGTCTCAGAATATGCTCACCAATCACAAAATTTTGAAGTCTCCACACATATGCCTGTTCGGTATCCATATGGCATGTAACCACATTGCACCAATCCCGTTCCCTGATTTCAGCTTTTTTTAATGAAAGAGAGAGCGCAACAGCAAAACTTGGATCACTTTGACATAAAAAAACATATTTAAATGATAAAAGAGCATATAGCAGATCATACCACAATCAAATGTGATAACAGGCTTTAATTTTAGTTCCTCCTGAAATTGAAAAATATGAAACCAAGCTGAAGAAAGAGATCACTCAACAAAAATTGGAACAGTTGCAGAAGAAATTAGTAATATCTGCATATAAAAGTATTGAGGTGTCCATGCTAATTTAGCCAGAAAAGTATCAACATTTCATCCCAGCCATACCTTCATTCTTAGTTTCTTGGCTCGCTTCGATATGTTTGCGACAGCTCTCTGCTTTGCTGATCCTTATCACAACAGAGTTGACAAGTTTTGACCAACTAGAAAATTATATTAATTGTGATGTAGAATGTATATATAGAAATCCATGGATGGAGGGTGAGAATAAGAACAAACTGTAAGTAGTATACCCAGGAACCAAAGCTCTTTTCAAATTACAGATTAGATAAATAAAGGATTTTATCAGGTCTTAGAATCAGAAAAAAAGGCTTATATCACATTCAAGTCCAGATCTAGCTCAGACAATTTTATCAATCAGAAAGAACTGAACGTTGTACTAAACAAGCATGGAACATTATAATGAGATCAAGGGGTATGTGTTATCTGATTAAATACATCATTGCTTTATCTAAATTCAACGTCTCCATCTCAAAGGATTCCCTCATCAATGATCCCTCTCTTGGAGATATTTGTACGGCTCCAAAGAACCAGATAATTAAACAGATTTCTTGGTCCCCTCCCCCTAAGGGTTTTCTAAAGTTGAATGTGGATGCTTCTGTCAATGGTGATTGGAAGACAAGTGGATTAGACGGGATTTTAAGAGATGAAGCTGGCTCGGTTCTAGGTTCTTTTCAAGAAGCTGCTGGTCCGGGACCTCCTTCTTTAATGGAATTAAAGGCTATTAAACAGGGTTTAATTTTCTTTGAATCTTCTCGGTGGTGTTACAAGAAACGTTTGATCATCGAGAGTGATAGTAAGTCGTCAGTGGAGTGGATTAAGAATTTGGATAAACGTTCAAGTTTGTATGTTATTATTTCTAAGGAAATTGCTGATAGGTTAAGAAAATTAGAGGGTTTTATTCGTTGGGTAACTAGGCCAGCAAATGTTGAGGCAGACGGTTTAGCAAAGTCTGGTATTGGCTAAGATTGGGAGTTGGTGTTTGGGATGTTTTTCTTTTGGTTTACGGATTTTCTTTTGTAAGGGGGGTGAGCTTGGTTGTATTCACATACTATGTACTGATCTTTTATTAATAAAATTTGAGGCACTTTTTTCCTCCTCCCGCTGATTATGGAACACCTTAGGGTGTTTTAATAATCATGAAGGGAGTTTTAACGAGGCCTCCACTTCTTATAAAAAAAATATATCATTGCCACCAAACAACACTCAGAAACTGCAAACTTGTAAAAAAAAGGTCCCACTGAGGTGAATATAAGTTCAAACAATGGTCAATCAGAAACATCGTGCATATCAAAATTCATGAAGAGAAAACTCCTGATTATAGATGCCAAACCTGGATGGTAGAGAAAAGGCGAAAAGCACGGTCTTGGCCAGCAGACAGGATATGCCTTCCATTGGCATAGAACCTACCAAAGTAGGTAAAATTCCAATTAGGTATTTCACGTGCAAATGATCTCCCAGAGAAAAGTTTTGAAATAACTGAAGTGCGGGCTAGATAATTTAATATTAAAATTTAAGAGGTCATATGGCGAAGTACTGCAAGATAATTTAGCAGGTACCGTTCTTGAATTGTATTAACCTTATTCGCAATAACATTCTAATACACTTTTAATTGTTAAAGATATTAGGGGTGAAATGAATACGTAGAAAGTTGCACATGGATGAAATTCATGGAGTGCCATTACCTGATGCAAAGTGAAGGAGCACTGTGTCCACTTCGAAACCGCAAGAGACGAGGATCTCCATCACTTGTGTCAAATATCCACATCTGCAAAGGCAAAAAAATAAAATATCAGAAGTGCATTTCCCAATATCAGAAATGAGCATGTGCAGCATAGACCACAGTGCAAAGACCACACTGACCTGAAAAGAGGGGGAAAAAGAATATAGCAAGCATGCACAGAACCTCTTGGTTAGGAAGGGGAAGAATCAGACTTGGCGATATGCATAGGATAGATTAGTGTAAGGTCAAATTTCAAATAAATCCCAACAATATTCATGCCATAGTTCTGAAACATTGAATATGATACAAGATAGTTTCAAACCTCAAATATTTTTATTATCACTTGTGATATTACACAACTAAATGCATATGCAGCATGTTCACTCACTTTAACCACTTAAAACTTCATAGACATAAAATTTAATCAAATAACTAGAGAGGGAAAAAGATTAAAAGTACATTAATCATTACCTTAATTGAGTTGTCAGCTGATGAACTCATTAATACAGGCTCATTAGCAAAAAAGTGAAGTGAAATAATTGAATTCAATGAGCCTCTCTTATGACTGTTTGAAGCCTTTTCTTCTCAAGATTCCATATGCTTATCACGCCAGAAGAACCTCCGGATGCTAGAAGGGGCTGTCCATCTGCAGAATATAGAACAGACATCAGTATAAATATGCACGGTGATGGGCTTGAGTAAACAGGTATTTCTCTAATAGAAAATGCCAGGCAAAAGCCCTACTGTACACATCTACCACTGTTTAAAATTGAAGTTATTGAGTCTAAGTGACTTCAGCTTGAGTAGCTGGATTATTTTTTGTGACACACCCAAGCAGAAGAAAATAATGCTTGACCAAGTTCAATTCTGCCATGTGCTGGCTTGGCTCAATTACCCCTACTGCAGCCTAAGCAAATTCCAACATATCAACAGAAAAAGCAAGCCCAAGATCAGGAAAGGCGCTCAAAAAAGGTCCATAATGAAAATACCTGTGCTGAAAGATAAGGCAGTGGCAGTGCCTCTTGCAGAATGTTTAAATGTTACAACTTCTTCGTCATAACGTATATTGTGAACATGAATTGTTCCATCAGCACAACCAACAGCAATAAAATCTAGTGCAGGTGATGAAACACAACTGCAGACACCGGAATTCCATCCCTTGAATTCATAAAGTTTCTTTTTTGTGCTGATGTTCCAAAGCTGCAAAGGACTTTCCTGGCTCCCAATAAGAACCTGTTCAAACTCTTCTTAGTTCTACATGTCCATTTTATCATAACATTTAAAATTCACCTAGTACCATATTAGCAACAAAGCGGGGAATGTTACCTTGTTTAAGTAAGTTCTGGATGCATTATACAAGTAGGAGTGAATTTGGCATCTATCTTGATATGTCCAATTGGAGCAAGATTATCATCAATTCCTTTAAACGACCATATGAAAACACTGCCATCAGCGTCTACACCTAGAATGTGATCCCCGAATAAAAGCAATAAGTTGACTTTAGCACTGTGCCTGCGCCAATTTGCTACCTGCACATGAATTAATCTTACCACCAAAATCCAAAAGAACAAAATTTTAAGGGTAAAAACTAGGTCTACATAAATAATACAAGACAGTGAGAAATAAACAAAAGACTAAAGATAAATCTGGTGAGCTCGTTTAAATACACCAATATCAGTCCCGTAGGCGGCAAACGTGTAATCACGGTACGAAGCAAGAGCTCGAATCTTCTTGGGTAATTGAGGACCTACATAACAGCATTAGGAGAAAACCAGCTTTTAACCAAAAGCTGAAATTAAAAAAGAAAAAGAAAAAATCTCACCAATAAGCACCAGATTGAACTTGGAGCACTGCAAAAGGAAGCTGAAAGTGAGGAGATGAATAACTTCACATTGTTGAAAGAAAAAACAAAGAAGAAGGAAAGATTGGTACTGACGTTGTAAATCTGAAAAGCTTTGCCAACGGTGACAGTGACGAAAGTTTCGGTGCCCAATCGCTGAACGGAGAAGGGAACTCCGCAGGTTATGTATCCTATTGCTCTGTATGGCTCAAATATCCCCATTTCCTTTGCTCTCTGTTCTCTTTCCTTTCACTTCAACTGAATGAGAAATCCTCTTCTGGATTTGTTGCTTAACTGAGTGCCTGTTTCAACAATAGGGTGGTAGATGATTTTTTGGATGTGGACATACATCAAAATTTTGCCTCTGTGTACATGCTATTTCATCTGCAATTTGAATAGTTAGTTCCTCTTTTTCTTTCCTCTCAGATTAGAACACTATGCTCTTGTACCTTTCAGGTTAAAGAGTGTCGGGAGAAATTTCAGCTGGAATATGCTGTCCTTGAACCATTCTACTTTAAATTGAGGCATCATTCTTACAATCTTACCGAAGAACTTCTGTGCAGGTATGTTGCAATTGTGTGGCCTGATATTCTTCATTTCTCAATCTACAAGGTCAGCGGTTGGTCCATTGTTGATTCAGGAAGTGCTAAGCTTCTGGCTTGGGATACATGCTCTGACAGATTTGCTATATTAGAGTCCACAGTACCTCCGAGAATGACCATTATTCACAAGGGAAGTTCATCAAGAAAAGCTAAAGAAGCAGCTGCAGCGGTGGCGGCAGCTCAGGCAGCAGCAGCAGCTAACTCTGCTTTTGCTAATGTTCAAGTTCGCATTTTGCTGGATGATGGAACGTCGAACATATTAAGGAGGTCCATAGGTACCTGCAGTGAGCCGGTATCTTAATTTCCTTGCTTAATTCATCTGTTAGTTCATTTCAGTAGAATCAGATTCATTCGGGATGCATCAGCTCTTCAAATATGAGAGATGATTTGCCGAGAAGTGAATACTTTTTTTTATACAGATTATGTTTCTTTCAACAAAATTATTTTGTTTTCTTTTAATGAGGGAAGAAACACTGGATAGATGATATTTCTCGCTGCTGCCAGCTATTTCCACAATTTTCAAAGATTTACTGAAAGAATTATACTTCCATCATTAAATAGCACTGATAGGATTTCATATTGTTAGATTTAGATGTGTTTCTCAGTACCCTCCATTTTTTTTCTGAATTGCACACGGTTAGACTCCTCTCGTAACTTGTAAATTTCTCTACCAGGTCACTGGCCCGTATGGAGAGGCACTGTTTGGTATTGCCTATCGAATACCTCGTACAGTTACCCCTGGTTCTTCAACAATTCACTCTGCTATCGTCAGGATATGGAAGTAGTGGTTCTTATGATGATGGATTTTCTTCTCAGAGATCTACCGCTAAGGCAGTGCCTCAAAACTTTCAGTTTTTCAGGTGCAAATAATCGACGCCAATAGGTTTGCTTCACAAAATTGCTAAACTTTATTAGATTTTCCTCCATATATTGATATGATTGATGTGCTTTTGCTCATAGCTCTTAATCGTATACTTATTTGAGAACTTCAAAACCAAGATAACAAATAATCAAAACTGACTTAAGAAAATTCCTTTAAGTAGAAGTTTTGCTTAAGGTTGAAAGTTGAAATTGTTGCGGAAGACGGCTATCGGATAGAGTAAAATCGCAACTGATAATTTGAGAAAATAAAAATGAAGATAAAAGAGACACAAAATTTACGTGGAAAACCCCTAAAAAATTTAGGGTAAAAACCACGGGCAACGATAGAAGAATTTCACTATAAGAAAATAGGAATTACAATCTCTCTCGATCTACCAAGGAAAAAACAATGATAATTCTCTCTTGATAAAAAGGAGAAAACAACTCTCAAGAAACTCTCTAAATTCTCTCTAGTATTGAAAGAAAGCTAGAATGCTTTGGGATGATTTTGAAGCTAAATGAGCTAGGGTATTTATAGTTGAAACTTAAGGACTAATCTTATAAATACCCTAAATTACAATGACTAAAATTAATTATCTCATTACCCAATTTCAACAAAAATTAGGTGCCTAATTTTTGACTTTGACAAAGCACCATTTGGTGCTTAATTTGGTGCCTAAATTATTTGACTTTTAACAATCTCACACTTGAAGATTTGATTTGAATAATCATATCTTCACACCATTATTTCTACCTTGTACCTTTATGTTGCTTATATTTTCGCCAGGCTGCAAGAGGATCGGCACCAGGTAAATTTATCAGTGTTGATCGCCTTCATCATGAAATCTGCTATGTTGTCTTTGGTATGAATCTTCTGTATATCTACTGTCCCTTCTTCAACCTTTTTACGAATGAAATGGTACTGAACTCGTATGTGTTTTGTCTTTGAATGAAATGTTGGATTCCTTGCTAGATGCAAGTCGCTTTGACTGTCACAAAACATAGAGACATACTCTTGATTGTGCCTAAGCTCCTCCAATAGCATCTTCAACCAAATTGCTTCTTTACTGGCTTGTGTAGCTGCTACATATTCTGCCTCTGTTGTGGACGTAGCCACAACTGACTGCAATTTTGAAACCCAGCTTACAGCTCCACCAGCAACTTTGAACACATATCCTGTAGTAGATTTGCTTTCATCCAAATCCCCTGCATAGTCAGAATCTACATAACCATTTATTAGTAAGTTTGATCCTCCGTAATATAATGCAACATTTGAGGTTCCTTTGATGTATCTCAGGATCCTCTTCACTGTATTCCAATGCTCTTTGCCTGGATTCGCCATGTACCAACTAACCACTCCCACTGCTTGTGCAATGTCTGGTCTTGTGCATATCATAGCGAACATTAAACTTCCCACTGCTGATGCATACGGTACTCGAGACATCTCCATCCTCTCTTCTTCATTACTATGACTCATACTGGAGGATAATTTGAAGTTAATAGAAAGAGGGTAGAAATTGGCTTACAATCTTGCATGCTGAATCGTGACAAGATCTTCTTCAAGTAATTCTTTTGTGAAAGCCAAATCTTCCTATTACTTCTGTCTCGGTGAATTTGCATCCCTAGAATCTTGTTTGCTGATCCCAAGTCCTTCATTTCAAATTCCCTAGCCAGTTGTGCCTTCAATTCTTTAATATAATCTTTGTTGGGTCCTGCAACCAACATGTCATCTATATACAACAGTAATATAACAAAATTGTTATCACCAGACCTCTTGAAATAAGCACAAGGGTCTGCATTAAGTCTGTTGTATCCAAGGCACATAATGAAGGAATCAAATCTCTTATACCAACACCTTGGCGCCTGCTTTAGTCCGTATAGATATTTGTTCAACCTGCAAACCAAGTTCTTCTTTTCTTTTTCTTCAAAACCTTCAGGCTGGAGCATATAAATTTCTTCTTCAAGATTTCCATGAAGAAAAGTTGTTTTAACATCTAGCTGCTCTAGATGTAAGTTCAATGTAGCATATATTGCCAAAACTACTCGAACTGTTGTTAGTCGAATCACATGAGAAAATATTTCATTGAAATCAATACCTTATTTTTGAGCATATCCTTTGACCACCAGTCTTGCACGATACCTCTCAACTTGATCGTCACCATTTCGCTTGATTTTGAAGACCCATTTGTTACCAATTGGCTTCCTTCCTTGTGGTAGTGGCACATGATCCCATGTATTATTTTTATGAAGGGCTTCGATTTCTTCTTGCATCGCCATCATCCACAGTGAAGCATCTGAGCTGTTTATTGCCTCCTGGTATGTTGATGGCTCACTGTCCTCTGTTAAAAGGTAGTATGCAATATTACATTCTATAACATAATCTGAGTGCCAATTGGGACGTCTTCTCACACGATCTAATTGACGAGTTGTTGGAGCATCAGAACTCTCTGGTTCTTGTTCATCATGTGCTGGTTCTGCTTCAGAAGAATCTTCTTCTTCAAACTCTTTTTCCACATGTATCTGAGTAGTCTCTGACTTTTCAGCGCTATCATCGTCTTCTTTTCTTTGTAGTTTATCTTCTACAAAGATAACATCTCTACTAATGATCACTTTGCGGGCAGTGGGATCCCACAAGCGATACCCCTTTACTCCATCAGCATACCCCAAGAATTTGCATTTTCTGGATTTTGGATCCAACTTTGAAATTTCTTGGGAGTTGTACATCACGTACACTATACTTCCAAATATATGGAGGTTTGAATAATCAGCTGGTTTTCCAGTCCACATCTCCATTGGTGTCTTCAGCTCTATTGCAGTTTATGGAGCTCGATTCACCAAATAACAGGCGGTATTGACTGCTTCTGCCCAGAATGATTTTTCTAGGCCTGCATCCCTCAACATTGCTCTTGTTCTTTCTAACAAGGTTCTGTTCATCCGCTCTGCCACTCCATTTTGTTGAGGAGTGTTCGCCACTGTGAACTGTCTTTTGATGTCTTCTTTCCTGCAAAAGTCATCAAATTCTTCGCTTGTGTATTCTCCTCCATTATCTGTTCTGAAACACTTGATCTTATTTCCAGAATCAAGTTCCACCCGCGCTTTGAAGTTTTTGAAAGTTGAAAATACGTCTGACTTCTTCTTAATAGGGTGCACCCAACATCTCCTGGAGTAGTCATCAATAAATGAGACAAAGTATTTTGCTCCACCTAGGGACGTTACTGGTGCTTGCCATACGTCAGAGGGAACTAATTCTAGAACACTTTTGCCTCTAGAATTTGATGTGTTGAATTTCAACCGGTGCTGCTTACTTGTTATGCAATGCTCACACAAAGGAAGTGATACATTTGTTAAGCCTAGAAGTAGCTTTTGCTCCACAAGGACTTTCATTCCTTGTTCTGACATGTGTCCAAGTTTCTGATGCCATAGCATTGCCGAATCTGAACTACATGAGGCAACAGAGGCTTTTGCTTCTACCAAAGTCTCTCCCTTCAGCATGTACAAGTTTGCAGCTATTTTTTCGCCTTTCAGCGCCACAAGCGCTCCACGAAACACCTTCATGATTCATTTCCGTGTTTCAATCTTGCTTGCATTATTATCCAACAATCCGTATGATAATAAATTTTTCTTCAGGCCTTTCACGTGCCGCACATCTCGAACAACTTTAATTGTTCCGTCATACATCTTCAATTTGATGGTTCCCACGCCAACGATCTCTAAGGCATGCTCATTGCAACTATAAACAGATCCTCCTAAGACAAGTTCATAATGATGGAACCATTCTCTTCTTGAGGTCATGTGATATGTTGCTCCCAAATCAATGAGTCATATATCTGCAAATCGTTTTCTTCCTTCCATGGTGGTTGACGCTTCACAGCATAGAGCATCTCCATCATCTGAAGTGTTTGCGGTATTGCCTTGTGGATTGGAGTTTTTATTTAGACTCCAACAATCCTTCTTCAAATGACCCTTCTTTCCACAGTTGTAACACTTTAAATTCTTCTTGCTCCTCGACTTCGATCTACCATGTTTGTGACTGCTGCTTTGGCCACGTTCTGTTGATCTCCCTCTCATCGTTGTCATCGTTGTCAACACTTCTTCTTGTTACAGATTTACTTGTCTGTCTTCCTTGTTCTTGCGCATATTTTCTTCTTGTAGAACAGCAGCTGCAACATCATCAAAGACTAGACTAGTGACATTACTGTTTGTCAAGTTGATGATGAGTTGATCATACGAATCCAGTAGACTTTGAAGTAGAAGTTCAGCACGTTCTTGTTCTTCTATTTTACAGCTTAAGGATGTAAGCTGAGAAAATGAGGTGTTCAGTGTATTTAAGTGCTCCGTCACTGAAGTAGATTCTGGCATACGGAGAGTGTACAATTTCCTCTTAAGGAAAATTTTATTGTGCAGCGATGTGGCCTCGTACAATTTGGTGAGATGATCCTATATCTCCTTAGATGTCTTCTTCTCCTCGATGCTTGACAATACTTCATCTGCTAATGCTAGATGAAAGTTTGCCATAGCATTCCCGTCCATCTCGTTCCATTTGATGTTATCTGTGAAATCCACCGGCCTTTCATTGATAGCCGCTAGACACCCGTCTTTCCTTAGAATGACATTCATCTTCAATTTCCACAATGAGAAATTTCTCCCATTAAATTTTTCAATATCAAATTTCGTTGCCATAGTTTCTTTTACGGATAGCTCCCACTATTTCACTATCGTGAATAGTTCTCTGGAACCTTCAAAGAATGGGTAATACCTTCTTACTTTCTTATGTTAGAGGATCCAACTTTTGGTGGCAACCACAAAGACAATAAGCAGATATTACACACTCAAATCTGGCTCTGATACCAATTGTTGCGGAAGACGGCTATCGGATAGAGCAAAATCGCAACTGATAATTTGAGAAAATAAAAATAAAGATAAAAGAGACACAAAATTTACGTGGAAAACCCCTAAAACAATTTAGGGTAAAAACCACGGGCAACGGTAGAAGAATTTCACTATGAAAAAATAGGAATTACAACCTCTCTCGATCTACCAAGGAGAAAACAATGATAATTTTCTCTTGATAAAAAGGAGAAAACAACTCTCAAGAAACTCTCTAAATTCTTTCTAGTATTAGAAGAAAGCTAGAATGCTTTGGGATGATTTTAAAGCTAAATGAGCTAGGGTATTTATAGTTGAAACTTAAGGACTAATCTTATAAATACCCTAAATTACAATGACTAAAATTAATTATCCCATTACCCAATTTCAACAAAAATTAGGTGCCTAATTTTTGACTTTGACAAAGCACCATTTGATGCCTAATTTGGTGCCTAAATTATTTGACTTTTAACAGAAATAGTGTTTATGTTGCCTAATATTCACTGTATTTTTGTGCATATTTTAGTTTGACCATAAGAAGACAAAGATAACATGTAGCATAATAATTGATTGAATTGATAATATGCTGTTGGGAAACTTCTCAACCAGTTGGTAATCTTCTCACTCAGCCACAATGGATTGCTTGGGACCAAACCGTTGAGTACTGTGCTTTTTCTTATCAGCATTATATTGTCATCTGTACATTGCGCCCCCAGTTTAGATACCTTGGAGATATTGCAATTGCTTATGCCACTGGAGCAGTTTTGCAAAAGAGACAATTATTTGTGGCTACACCAACTACAATCGAGTAAGATGCAGTTACTTTCAGAATCTTTATTTATATTTTAGTTGGAATTCTTGGTTTTCTCCACTTTTTTATTTTCCTCATTTTCGTAAATCCGTTTTTTAATGAAAAATGATTTATGCCTGTTATAGCCTCTTCGAAATGGAAATGATTAAAGGACGATTAAGTTTATGGAACTTTACTTGTCTAGTTGAGATTTACATTGCTTTGCTGAATAATTATCCCCTTCTTTCCTTCTTTAAGCAATATAATGAAATCGATTCCCATTAGAGCATTTATGTCACTTAAGGCATCAAAAGCTCTATTCATAATGCTCAATTTCATGATGGTTGATGCCCCTATTCCTCGTTTTTACCAGTTTCTGGAATGCTGGACAGACAGAGTAGTAATTCTGCAGTGCATATCAAATATGATGCATTTTCAGATGCGTCCTTGTGGATACTGGAGTTGCACCTATTGACATAGAAACAAGAAAGAGAAAAGAAGAGATGAAAATAAAAGAGGCACAAGCAAGAGCAGTCGCGGCTCATGGAGAGTTGGCTCTTATCTTTGTAAATGGTCCCCAAACTGCTAAAGATAAAAAAATAACACCGAGACCACCTATGTTACAGGTCAGAATTCTTATATAACTTGTTTATAAATTTTGTGTTGGTTGTCATTAGTTTAGATTGTGCTTTGTGCACTCCCTGTCAGTATTGTCGAGGCATATGCCAAGGCACTATGGCACAACGTAAACGAGCAAAGTGGCTTTTCCCCTTCAGACAAGGCACCTTTGATGAGGCACATGCTTTTTGCGCCTATGTGAATTCTTTCAAGGCAAAAGGTGCGGAGAAGTATGCTCGACTTTAATTGTCCTTTGGTTTCTTAATTTTTTTATTAAAAAATATTTATAGCTATTCTTTGTTGTAAAAGAAAATCTCTATTTAAGTAAATACAAAATTAAATAATATTATTGGCGTGCAACTTTTAGTTGAAAATGGAAGTGAAGAACAGAAATGCACTCTAATAGCTAGCACTCAGTTGGCTTCGTTTGCTGTAATTACTTCCTCTTATGGGCTGAAGATTGTAGATGATTCAGTGCAGTATGCCTTATCGTATACTGTAACCCTCTCAGATCGATGCGGATAACCCGATCCGATCTGGAGGGTCACATTAGGACCATCGGAACGACCCACTGTAAAAATAGCGGAAAATTTAAACTTTTATTAAAACATGTAATTTATAAAATGATTTATCAGTATACAAAAATAATACATATTTTCAGACTCAAATATTAAAACAAAATACAATTACATGCCCCCTAATCACATGTACCATACTCTGCAACAACGCCGGAAGAACTCCCTTAATGATGTCGATAGCTGTACTGGTACAATTCTTTTAACCTGCAATATTGAGTAATAGAGTGAATTTCGGAAAGCTCAGTAATACAGAACTACCAGATGATGCTGAAGAACTTGAAGATACAGATAAACATACATTTCCTTATTGGTTCAGATATCTACAGATTTTTAGGCTGAGTTGAGGTCCATTGATATCGCAGGTAGTAACAGATAGTATTCATTTCAGATGAAAATATTTCGGATGTCTAGGTTCCGGAGACCAGAATAGGTTTTTTAGTGTGTTCCCGTAAAACAAGTAAAAAGATACAGATCTTTTAAAACATATATATATATATATACCTCCATCCGTTCACATCATAAATGTGTAGGTTCCCCAGAACCATACACCTAATCGCACATGCCATTTAGACCCTGAGCACAAAGTCGATGAGTCTGCAAATAATCTTCCTCCAACAATAAACCCCCAGATAAAATATTTCTCCGTCGGTAAACGGAGATATCAAAAATCAAAACATAATTCAGATCAGATATCAGAACAGAATCCAGGTTAGGAATCAGAACAGATTTCAGATCAAATGTCAAAACAGAATTCAAATCAGAAATCAGATAAAATATTCATATAAGTAGAGAACACACTAGAGTTTCCAGATATTATTTAGAGATACATGATAATCTTATCGGGCAGAGAAACACAAATCTTTAGTTTACCGATAGAATACTGAAAATTAGAATCACTATTAGAAGTGTTTGTTAACTGACAAAATCATCAATTATTCATAATATGCTTATCATGATTATCTTATTCGGACATTTATCGGAAGCTCTACGTAATCCGAAGGGTATTCAAAATCCTTTACATATGAGTTACTTATGTTTTCATACATGACTAGAGTGATTTGAGCTGATAAGGAATAACGAAGATTCAGGGCCTTTACAATCTATGTTGATTGATCAAATTATCGAAAAACTCCAGATGAATAGCTCCCAGAACTAATACTTGTCAATTTTTCAAATTCATTAACCTTCCAGAGTATTTACTCTTTAATATCAAATATTCTTATTCATAGATCACCTTCTGAGTTATCACTGAACATATCTTAAGGAGACTAACAGATATTCTAATGGTCTTTATTTCATTTCCATGTGTCAACTATATCAGGAAATACCAACGTACTTGATTTGTGGTTCATAATCCATAGGGATGATACATCACGTAAGTTCATCCGAGTTTTCAGGCTTATTCCAATCTCTTACTTAATCCTCAGTCATTGAGGTTACCTAGTTCATTTAGCATTCAAGTCTATTTCAACTACGTCAGAATTTTCCAGAGTAATTCCGGACATTTCTGAATTTCGGATACATATTGTACTTTCTTTCAGTTCAGTTCGGTCTTCGTGGTTGATTTGTCGAACAAATGGAAAATTCTTAGTACTGAATGCGATCTAGAGTTGTTGAGCTGAATATTTCCAAAATTATCATTGAACCAAACTTGAGAAGACGAACACGCGTTCAAATAATATCTATGTCGTTCAGGTACTGACATATCATTAAGGTTGATCGGCTCACTTAAGTTATGTTCCATAACTTTTAAGGGTAGTACAACACCCATATATACTTGGATTCCTTAATTAATTTAAAACATCTACTTAGTCTAGGCCATAAGGGTATTTTGGTAATTATGGTGATCCGTTTTATTCTATTCATTTCAAAGCTCGAAGATATCCAATCATTCCCGAGCTTGGTGATATTCTTGAGTTATTTCCATTACAGGGGTATTTTGGTCATTTTACAGATATACGATATTTCAATCTTTTCCTTCCATCTGGTCTTATTATTTAATTTAATCTTATCATTTACTTCAGTCCTTTCAAATAATTCTGGAAAAAGTGCACCATTGATAAATCATTCTTCAGGTATTTACTTATAACTCGAATATTTTCGAGTAAAGTGCCTTCTCCGATTTTACAAACGGAATATCCGGAATTTTTCTGCACTAAGTCAGGATCTTAACAATCAAATTCGTACTTAATCGAGTTAAGTACAAATCCTCAAAGTAGTTTCTCATTCAGGGTCAACTCGAACTATTTTATCTCTCAGGGGTATTTTCGTAATTTCATAACCATATAATTTCGATATTAGCTCTTAACGAAAATAATTATTATTTAAATATCCTATGGTTAATTGCTTTCCCGAACATTCTCTGATCTTGAAATTATTCCTTAACAAACTTCTAGCATCTTGCGCAAACCATTTTTGGCGTTAAAAACCAGTTATCCAAATTTTCTAAACAAAACTATCATTTCTTATGCACATATGTAATTATATCGGATCAATATGTCTTTTTAGAGTTATTAACCATCTTCCAGAGACAATTCTTTTCATCCTACAATATAAGGGTATTTTCGTAATTTTACCTAATCGAAATATTCTCATAATTTATCCTTCAAGTACCTTTAATGAGATAAATTATAATCTACAAATTCATGGGTGATTCCTTTATCACTTAATTCCAGAACTTGAAATTTAATTCCAACTGTCCTTCAATTCTTATAATAGTCATCTGAACCATATTCAGATACCAAGTTTTTACTATAATAGAAACAAGTGTAGAACTTCATTAATCACACATATTAGACCAAACATTTACATTCATGCATTTACCAATATTCACATGTTCCATAAAGCATAAAGATGTAGTAAAATATTACCTCGATTTTTGTGTAATACTGATCGACCATTAAATTCCATTCGAACGCCCTCGATCTTGAAATCATTTTCCAATATTTCCTTGGATACATATCAATAGAAATTACATAAAAAAACAGAGCTTAATTCTGAAAAACGGATCGAATCGGATGATAAATCAATGAAAAACAGCTTACTGGGTTTGAATTTGGTGAAACGGACTTCGGATTCGGATTCAGGACGTCGAAAGCATAAAATATAACTTTTTGAAAATTTGAAATTTTAGGTCAAAATCAAATTCAACGGGTTTGACTGGCAATTTCGAGGCCTTCGTGTCCGAATTTCGAAAAACGGACTACGGAATCGGATTTGGAACGTCGAAAAACGTCAGGATAGGTATAATCGGTCAAAGTCAAAGGTCGTTTAATGTCCGGTCAAAGCCGGTAAAAGTTCTGGTCAACGTCGGTCAACGGTCAACAGTCGACCATTTTACACAAATATCACCCTAATGGAAATTAATTACAAAATCAGCCACCTTCTATAAATATTTACGAAACTAACACCCGAATTTTACACAAATAGCACCCAAACAGAAATTAATTACAACCAGACGATGCCTATTCTCGGGGGTGGCGCGTGGGACGCGTGATTTGTAACACGGTGTCGGAAAATTCTCAGAAAAATTCCTAAAAATTATTTTAAGGCATTTTGAGACACTTACGAAGCTCGGTTCACAATTTGGAATGGCGAAGATCTCGATTCCAAAACATCAGAAACTTTGACGGTCTCACCCCTCTACGCGCCGGTGACGATGGAGAGACGGAGAAAACCGGTGGACTCGGAATGATGCAAGGAACACAATGGTGTAGGAGGTGTCGTAAACGAATGACCGAATCGTTGTGAATCGACGAAAAACCAACTGAAATCGAGTTATTACCGACGATACTTTCGACTGAAATTAACGACGAACGGCGATGATTCACGACGAAAGGTTTGAGGGATTTTGTTCCTCGGTCGACAACGAACACGATGGTGGTTTCGGTTCGTCGATCGAAGGTCGGACGACGAGTAGATCGGAGTTGGAAGGAGGGTTGTTGGAGAGGGAAAACTGGAAATTTTTTTGTTGTTGAACCTGTGCACGGGAGAGTTTATAATTCAACTCATAATAAAAATGGGTAAACCATGAGTTTAGTCACTGAACTTCCTGCACTTCTTAAAATGGTCTGCCAACTTTGAAAAATTTCAATTTAATCCTCAATTTCCTTACAAAATCCTAATTAAATTCACCACTTTATAATTTCTTAAATTTAGCCCTTAAATTGGGGTGTTACAATTATCCCCTCCTTAAAAGAATTTCGTCCTCGAAATTCATTCATGTCACATTATTGCAGAAATAAAACTTCCATTAGTTCTCTCATATCTTTAAGTAGCTTTTACAAAAGTACGGATCCTCCACTAATCCTTAACCAGCTGAGCATACATTCTTATCATAAATTTTCCTCATATCAAAAAAAAGAACCCGAACAAAAACTTCTTGAGTAATCAATTCAGTCTTTTTCATGAGAATAGGCTCATAGAGCAGTAGCATACCCCAATTTCATTTCCAGAGTCGAGTCAGAATTTTTCAGATAAATAACTTTCACATGGCTCGTGAGGTACTTTATAGCGTTTAGACAGATGTTACTGGTATTTTTTTTTGTACAAGTATAGCCTTAACTGATAGAAACTTCGGTTTACTCGTTACAGATAGGGACTCAGCCCTAGAGTTTCGGCTCAGAGAGGTACAATTCTAGTCTAGGGGCATGTACTGATCAGACATCGTTTAGAAATTCGATCGACCGGTCTAGCTTGAAAAAAAAAATTTACTCAACCATAGCTCTGATACCACTAAATGCAACCTCCTCAGACCGATGGGGATAACCCGATCCGATCTAGAGTGTCACACTAGGGCCACCAGAGCGACCCACTGTAAAAATAACAGAAAATTTAAACTTTTATTAAAACATGTAACTTATAAAATGATTTATCTGTATACATAAATAAAACAGATTTTCAGACTCAAATATTAAAACA